ACATTTTAAGCAACATAACAAATTGACACTGCTATAAGTGTACTTTATTACTTATTAACAAACAAGCGGCGAAAAAGAAGTAACACTGCCATATAGAGTGCACTGAATTGAATCTCTGGTATCAAATCACTGATATCCTATCCAGCTAATTAGTTAATATCAGAGCCGATATCTGATCCAGGTATTGGATCTCTAGTAATTTGAATGTGGAAAAGGAAAAACTTTATTGAATTAATTCATTATTTTAGTTCTATAGTGAACAAAAATGCTCCTTGAAATGCTCCATAAAGTTTCAAGCAGTGACGTTGATGTTCACGTGCTACAATGTCTTAACTTCACACACCTGCTGATTATCTCATTAGCTAACACTCAAAAGCTTTTTGTGGTTGTAACAAGAAGATTTCCCATCAACTGAAACATTTTTAAAGAGTAAACCTTTTCTGTTAAATGGATCCTCATTATCTGGTTACTTTTATGTTGATGATGCAGTTTTGGCCCCCTCTCACAGTGTAAGAATATATGATGAGGTCTGTGTGTATGTCCATTAATTCAGTAATTACTCTTCTGCCCCTGCTGAGTAAGGACCTGCATCTGCAGCAGGAAGCTGTGGTGAGCCACAAAACTCTTATTGTTGTGTTGTTGTTCACCCTCTTTTAGAGTTCAGCTTTGATTTAGATTTGCACATTTAACTTTGTGGGGAAAGCCAGAGTTATAAAAACACTCCAAACTAGGCTTTTGTTTCAGGTTATATTAATAGATATTTGAGGTCGATGGAGAGTTTGATACTAACACTGATGTAAAATTTTCTTTTTTGATCTTTTCCTCTAGTCTAAAGTTGGAATGTGAAAAACTGGCCAGTGAGAAGACTGAGATGCAAAGACATTATGTAATGGTAAGTCTGACTGCTGCTTGTGTCATTCTTAGTGCTTGATTTAAAAGAAGGAGCGTAACCTTTTTTTTGCCTGTGCTTTTGACAGTACTATGAAATGTCATATGGGTTGAACATAGAGATGCATAAACAGGTAAGAAGCTTTTTTTTAATTAAAATGCAAGAGAGAAAAAGCCTCATCATTTGTCTCAGAGTAACAAGATCAGTACAAGTTTTTGTTGTATATGTGCATTAACCAATAATAGATCAATGTAGTTGGAATTACAAGAAAAGAAGCGTCAGCTGTATAGAAAATCCTCTATAGTATTTTTAACATTAATATACCTTTTTTCTGCCTTCCACTTGCATCCTTTCTTTAGATGGCTCTGATTTTGCAGGAAATCTTTTCAAACTACAGGGTTCGTATGCTGTCACACTGTAAGAAAAGAATAATTAAGAATATTCAAAAATTCAAAACAACCTTATGCAGTAAGAATTTTGTGTTCTCTCAATGATCGACCACTTGATTGTTTCAAGTTTAAATTCATCGTTGTACCAATTGCTTTTAGTTTGTTTGGCTTATTCGCTCAACTCTAAATTCATCATCTTGCCAACAGGAATTTGCTTACTGACTGAATGGTGTTATTCACAAAAGTACATAAAACTAATTAACTACACAGTAAATTTTAACTTTGGTCAAGCATTTTTACTAGACAAAGTACGTACATTTTTTGATAAATTCATAATATTCGATTCCATGTTTTTCTTACTTTATTGAACTGTTATCAAATTGAAATTCCACAGTTTATAATGGACAAAAACATTAAATCACACCAGGCTAAATACCTACACAGCATAACATTTAACAGCCTAAAATAAGTTAACAGTGGAGTAAATCATGGGAATAGAAAATGAATGCACACAAAATTATTTCAATTTCCAGTCATATTCTTTTTTAATAAGAACACATCCAATATTTGTCACTCCAAATAAATTGGACGTACTCTTATGTCTGCTGGTTCCTCATCTACTAGTCTTGAGTTCGAGATTTTAAGCCCAGTTATGTTGGAAATCATTAGTGAATAATAAAATAAAAGTGTGAGATGCATTGCGCACAGATCACCTACATGGTAGACAGATAAGGACAGAGAGAAACTCTTAGATTTGAAGACCAGAAACTAAAATAAGTAAAACAGCATTTCAATTCCCATCTTGTTTATTTTCTTTTTTATAGTTTTTTTTATTTTTATTTTAAACTTAACCGTTGCATTTTTGGATTGCAAATACGCCAAACACTTGGCAGGAAATGTGGATTTTTTTTACTAAAAAAAAGTATTGAATTGTTAAATTGAGACTGTTTGGAAACCTAGAGACTAAACCAGTTGCAAAAAAATTGAAGCAAAGATTTAATTTGGTTTTTATTATTTGGAAATAAAAGAATATGAAAAATACAGGTGCACTGATTTTATCTGTAAGGTTGAGGTTTTGCATGCATTTTGAGTTCAAATTGTTGTTTTTATGTTGTTGTTTGAAATGAAATTTTAATGGTGGTAAACAGGATCTTATATCATTACATGGTTGGATTAGAGGTTTTTAACAAAAATATTTCATAAAAAAAAGCAGTTGGTTAAAAATGTGAATCTCAGCAAATAGAGATAACCTTCAACACAAATGCGGCAAATGTTTTCACAAAGACTGCTTCATCTTTATAACCATTCTCTAAAATATATCTCTATTCTTAACTGCTTGGAAGATTCAGCAGTAAACATGGTTTAAAGAAAATGGCTATAAATTGCTTTGTTTAATAAGTTGGTAAAGTAAGGAAGGAGGAGGGGCCAAGTTTTAATGTGTGAATTGATGAGTGAAAGAATTGACCCTAAGCATTGAAACCCATTTGAAACTTTACACAATATACATGCATTACATGCTAACATAACAAATTGATGTCATATCATTATAGCATAATGTATGAAACTGTGATTGAGTTAAAATTATATGAAGCTAGAGATAAGGAGGATACTATAACTTGCTTCCTAAGTTACTTACATACACTTACATACACTTTTACACTTTTCCTAATGTTACCTTGATGCAAACAAAGATACACTGCAAAAATCAAATTTCATCTGTTTCATAGAAGAAGAAAATGCATCTCAGCACACTGCATTAAAGTTAAAGTAAGAGGACTCCAGCCAGCATTGTTTTGGATTTTATTTTTGCATGCTAAAACATACAAAAAAAAGCTCCTACTATGAAGGTAATCTTATTTGGTAAAAGAATGTGTAAAGGAAAAGAAAAAAGAACAAATGTTAACCTTAAAAATCCTATAAAGACTTTAAAGCAACACCTGGTCTATTTTATTTTGTCTCGTTTGGTCACTTGGTGAAGCTGATAGCCATTTCACATTCGAATAAGAATTTCATCAGCTTAATTGAACAAGATAATGGGCTGAAAAATGACTGCAGCCAATAAGGATTTGGCCTTTAACGAGCCTTTGCATCACTGCTGCTTTTTTTTCCCAACTTCAACACGGAGGGTCATTAGCATAAATGTCTGTGTTAACCACACATCAGCCGCCACGATAAATGGACCACAGCTAACCATCCACACATTCATCTCTGCACAAATAGCGTGTGTGTTGGTTTGAGAAGATGTGATAAATGCTTGGCCTTTGTCTTGCAGTGTATGTGTGTCTCTCTGTAACTATCCAGCCTGTTTACTTTGCTGTGTGTGTGTTTGTGAGAGTGTTTAACAGCCCATACTTACCACCAGTGTTTACAGAGTGTGGATGTTTTCGTGAATGTGTTTGTCTGTAGGCACACTTTAGATGTTTATTCAGTTTTGCATTCACTATTTGCAAATCTGTGCACATGCTGGGTGCGTATGCCTTTTACTTTTTGTGTTTACTCTCACCTCAACATGCACACCCAAACACACACATCCCCTCCACAACACACAAATGCCGCTTTTTTTTAAACCACTGGCACACTAATCATAGTTGTCGGATGAAATATGGGGTGTCTGCTATAAATCCCGGCCGCCCGCTGCTGTTTGTGGGCGCTGCACGTGCTGCTGTGTGTTGTTGTGTTTGCATGGACAGACAAAATGAGAAGCGGTAAAACGTGGCCTGCAGCTCTGTGTGGTGCCGAATGATTTCTGTCAGGAGAGCGAATCCCTAATTTCTGCCAGCAGTCTGTGGGTTCATGCATCATGCAGTTGTGTGTGGGTGTGTGTGTTTGGAGTATTGGAGGCAAATTATTTAGACTCTTCCTCCAGCATGCCTGGGTATTACTGTGTTAGTGTGCATGTGTTTGATTGTGCTTTGTGTAGATGAATGAATAGAAGAGACAGAGGTGTTTCTTTGGCGGTCTCTGGATTAAGGCAATCAGCAACCACTTCCAAGAGAGTCGCTAATATTGCTTGTTTAGCATTTTCTGAGGGTAATAGGCCCATTGATTTTTGGCTCTGCTCCCTGTTTTATTTACACAGAAGGGCTTCTAGTGCCCAGGGGAGAGAAATGTACCGAGGCTCGTTAAAGAGAAATTGACTCGTAGATGGAGGAGAGGACAGGACGGGGAGGATGCTCACAAGACTGAGAGAGGACAGCTAATCAATTGCAAATTAGTGAGGCTGAAAGAGAAATAAAGCAAAGCGCAGGATGTAAGGAGAATAAAAGATAGGCGGAACAAGGACAAAGTGGTGATAGAAGCAAGTTAGAAGACTTTAGATACTGAAGACTGACAGAGATTTGAATTATGTGTGACACGTTATATCACTGCAGAAGTTTGGCAAACTTTTTTTTGTCTTGGGACAGACTGTTTTCAAATTGTGGTTTGAACAGTAAAAAAAAACAACAAAAAACTGAAAAACATACATAAAATGTAAAAAATATTTTTTTAAAGGACAGATTTGATTACACATTTAGCTCATTTACAGAACTATTTTCTATTTTTCAATCTCATTTCTCTTAATTAGACATTTTATAGTAAATCTGCTCCTTTTGACTAAATAAAGTAGGTGGTACTAACCCATAACCTATTGGCTGGTTTTGTCTGTGTGATGTCAATTACAATATCATTCTTCTGCTTCCCTCCACCACAAACTATAAACAGTCCCTTCAAAACTAGAATAAAAAAAAAATCTTATTATCAACCCATCAGGGGTATGAAGAACAATGATAGATACTGAGCTATACAGCAGAGTTGGTTAAAATAATGCTCTTTGTAGCTTTATTCTGAATTTTGTGCGCAAATCTATCAAATTGTGTGACAGTTTTTACATTTATTTTATTTACAAGAGACCTTTCACTACTGGGTATGAAAAACAGTACCTGCTTCAGATTCCTCACATTCTGGTGTACCACCTTTGTTGGGAACAACTAATATCAATGTATTGTGGCAGTCTTCTACTTTGCTGTGGGATAATTTTATATTTTTACTAGCTGCATTGTTTTAATTCAGCCTCAATGGAGGCTTTGGTTTTAAAGCAAGGTAAAGCTTTTAAAGCATAGACCAGGGGTGTCAAACTGGTTCCAGAAAGGGCCGTGTGGCTGCAGGTTTTCTTTCCAACCAGGCAGTAGCACCAGACTCCATTCATTTCATCATGTTCAGATTGGACTCACTTGATGAGATGAATGGAGTCTGGTGTGCTATTGCTTGGTTGAAAAGAAATCCTGCAGCCACATGGCCCTTTCTGGAACCAGTTTGACACCCCTGGCATAGACTGTTAGATTTAAGTCCAGACTTTTAATATGACATTGCAAACCTTTTTTTTGTTTTAACTATTCAGAGTTAGATGTGTTGTATTTCTGAATATTTAATAATATATTATTGTCTAACCCTGTTTTTTTTTTTTTTATTATCTTTTTGGTGCGACGAACTAATAACCAGACACCAGACAGTTTTAAGATTTTCTGCCAAATTCATGATTATCTCATTTACAACAAGTCGTCCAGATTGTAAGACAACCTGCAGCCATTCAGACACTTAGGGATTGGGATGATGATTTTGTTGTATAAATGTCTTGTCTCTTGCTTGTTATTTAATTACAAACTCCGACTGTTTTTTTTCAGGGTTCATTTATTACCTTTTTAACATCAATTTTATTTATCTATTTTGATTTGGGTTGATCATTTTTGTGGGTCTTTGAGAATGA